CTCGAGGCCTTCAGAACCGAGATGGGACCCAAGCAGCAGCCTCTCCTGCCCCAGCGTTTTATAACGGGGCTTTCCCGCCGGAGGAAAATGCCTCCTGGCTGCCCGAAGAGGCCCGAGGAGCGCGCGGGGGAGGCGCCCGGCCGGCCGCGGGGCTGGAGGTGACCGCCCGACGGAGGGCCGGCCTCGCCGGCACAGCCGCTGCTTCCTTTCTCTCGCCCAGGCGTTTTCTTCCCCCTGTTTTTTGTTAACCAAAAATTATCCTGGAGGTTTCATTCCAATGTATGGTCTGAAGTCATTTACTGTTTTTATGAGAAAGCCTGAAGTTTTCTGCATCTGTGAATCTAAGAAACCTGACTCGCTTGCAGACAATTTTTCCTTCTTTCTCATATAAAGGCTTCTGAAAGAGGCGTTGTCACTCTTTAGAGCAAAAGGGAGCAACAGAAAAAACTTTACTACGAAAGGAGTGAAACAATACAAAAATCAAGCCTTAAAAACAAGCAAAAAAGTTGTGAAATGAGAAAGATGTAATACTTTGTAAGAATTGTGCCTTGGGACTCTAATCACAGATAAAGTGGGACCTATGCAGAATGCAATCTTTTTCCGTCATTCAAGGAAAATACGCTCCTTTGTCAGAAAAGAAATTCTTTCTTTGTGATTTTTTTACATAAATAAATGTCAGGACCGGAAATTTATTTTTGTTCTCCCCTTTAGGTTAGGTCGCTCTTTCTTTTTGCAATTTAAATACATCTTTTATATTTTTAGTTCCTGGTAGTTGGTACTAAATAGCTGCGTCAGCAAATTATACGCTCTGCGCACACATGTGTCCTGGGTTTTATTAGCAGTTTTGTACTAGCTCATTCATGCAGTTTACCCTTCCCTTCTTCCCTGAGGCTGTCTGCTTGGCGAATGCCTTTAGCGCGACTTACTCTGTAATGCCATAAGCATCTGGGATTGTTCCAGAAAAAGGAAAGGGACTCCCTGACAAGTTCATTTTCAGGAATAAAGCATGAAACGAAGACATACAGAGAGTGGAAGAAGATGATCTCCAGGTGAAGAGGGCTGAACACACAATGCCGATGCTTCCTCAAAGCATTTCGCTTCTATTTTTCTTATTCCCAGACAAAACCAAATATCAGAAACAAACAGCAAAAGGTTGGGGGCGGGGTGGATTCAGCTCTGATATTATGACTTCTAACAAATCGTCTTCATCTCAAACACAAAACACTCAACCTTGTCAGATCCCTGTGAGATGTCTAGAGAAACGAGGTGATGTGTGTACACCAAGCACCAAGTGGCTGCTAAGTAACTATTAGTGCCCTAATGTCCACCCCAATTTCACTCCATAACTTAAGCCTAAAGTGAAGTAAAAGACAAGTTCCGTTTTAATAGTGTGCCAAGTAGGGAGAAGCAGAAAGTTAAAACGAAGAAAACCACAAATAAAGGATTACTACTTTAATGCTAAGCAGAGAAGGGAACTCGTCTCTGTAAATTCAGTGTCAAGTCCCAGCTCCCACTGTGGCGAAAACCTCAGGAGGAGGCGCCCCTAGTGGCCCTTGCAAAGGAAGCAATTCCCGCTGCAACCGGCAAAGTCAGGGGGACACTGACATTTAAAGCAATGAAGTTCACATTCTTACTGGAAGCTGGGTGCAGTCAAATGTAACAATTAGCCACTTTGTTTCCCATGTCCTGTAGATGTTTCCAGAACAAAAAGCATCCCAGTGATGGTGGGGGTGAATATAGGAACTAATCAAACACGCCTCAAAAGACACCCTTTTCTTCGTAAGTGTTGTTGTTGGAAGCTGTTCAGGACTGGTCAAATCACAGAAGGGAGCGGAGGCCTTTCTGTCCACCAGGCTCCAGAATGCAGTCATTGTAAAGGATGTCCACATATAAGATCTCATTGGACCTTGCAAAATTGGCACCCCCATTTTGCAGGTGACAGAGATTAGGCATGTAGCTAATTAGTGGCAAAACCAGACTGGAATGAAAACTATTCTTTCCAAAGCAGTGCAAACTTCTTCCAGTGGTGGTGGTGAGATGGTAATAGAAAGTAAAGACAAGAAAGATTGTGCTGTACCAAATTCTGTAACTAGTATATGTGGAAATGAAAATAAAAATAATTTGCAAAAAAACTTCGGATACATTTAAAATACAAGAGGGATGAGGAGTGACTGAAGGCATCCAGGATGCTGTTGGGAAAGTACAGGGAATCTCTTGAGCTTAACAAATTGAGTAGTTGGTTCTTAGGCAGGTTTGGGGGCATTTGTCAGAGGCAGAGTACTGCATGGATATTGATAACATCACATCTTATTGACTATCAGCTGCCTTTGATTGTAAGATTCACCATTAGTTTACGTAATACTAAGATAGAATATAGTGTTTGCAGGATTGCAGGATTGTCTTAGTCTGTTCGGGCTGCTATAACAAAATACCATAAACTGGGTGGCTTATAAACAACAGACAATTTTTCCTCCCATATTTGGAGGCTGGGAAGTCCAAGATCAAGGTGCGAGCAGATTTGGTGCATGGTGAAGGCCTGCCTTCTGGTTCACAGACGGTGCCTTCTAGCTGTGACTTCATGAGGCAAAAGGGCTGGGTGTGCTGTGGGGTCTCCTTTATAAGAGCACCCCTCTCACTCATGAGGGCTCCAGTCTCATGACCTAAGCACTACCCAACGGCCCTACTTCCTAATCCCAACACCACAGCATTCAGTTCATTGCAAGAATGGATCTCAGGTTCAGAGATGTTAAAATATGAGAAAATGTGCATCTTAGAATGAATGAAAACTGGAAAGAGATAGCACTTTCATCACCTGATATCCTATGAGGCAGATGTTGTTCATTTTCTCATTTAGTTGAAGGGGAGGAGAGGCTCGGAGGAGCTCAGCGACCTTCCCAGTATTGCAGAGGTCTGAGCCCAGCTCTGTCCAGGCCGAGGGCCCAAGATGGGTGAAAAGCAGCCCTTCCCGACAGAGGCTGAGGTCTCATGGAGATTGCAGACATGTAACAGCCATCTGCGTGCTGGGATGGGCGGTGGGGAGTCTCACATACAGACACTGGAGCTGGGCAGACAAGAGAGGGTTGAATTTGCGTTAGAAAGACTAGGACTGGGTCACCATTTGTCCCTTTGCTTTTTCCCTAGAAAGTGCAGATTTCACCCCCAGGAAAAGCTCACATACCTTTTGGGAAGGTCCTGCCTTGATAGGCTGATGCCTAGTCATGCAATAATGCCTGGAGTGCGGACAAGAACCCAGGGGTGCTTGCTAAAGGTTGGTGTGAGTGATGTGCCGTGAGCAGTTCTTCCCCTACAACCTTAGAGGAGGCGGTCAGAGTCACCACCACCGGGTTTATGCTGCTAGTCCTGTATCTTTCACCCTATCAGTTAAATAAACGTGGGGTGGACAAGGGGGTGGTTCAGTAAATGCATTGGCTGCCTGCAATATATTTGTTCTTTTTCTAACAGCCCCTCAATTTTTCTTTCCAGAGGGAGCACCCTTCTCTCCTTTATGTGACAACAGTTCATTTTGGGTGCCTTAACCTCACTCCCAGCTCTAGTGATGGGTTCTGAGGGTTAATGCCATCTTTAGTCCATAGACTGAGATTGGTCCAAGGAGAGCCCAGGATCAGGATGCTTGTTCGACAGGTGATTCAGTTGCACATTCACCCTTCCTAGATGTGACTGAGGACACATGGGGCTGAAGCCAGCCTGAGATCTTTCCAACAAGCCAGGGAAGGTAGAGCCGGGGATGACATTTGAAGATACTTTGCCCCTTTTCAATCCCCTGCCCCAATAAATGCTTATAATTTACCCAGTTTGTTGCAATTTCTGTGGCTTAAAACAAAAGCAGGCAACAGAGGTGGCATGGAAAGGGAAGAGCTCAGGTGTTAAAAAGAA